GTGTTTCCTTTGAGTTCAGCTCGATGTCCGTGGATTTGAAAGAGACTCTGAACTGTTCTCTGCCCTCCAATGGAGCACTTCCCTTTGACTGATTCACCGTCAATTAAATCTTTATGCAGTCTTTCTAAACTCTAAACAATTAAATTGGTACAAAGCTCATGCATTTTAAACTCCACCATGGCCAGCCCATCTCTGCCATGACCAGTCCGACTCCGCCATGACCACTCTTACTCCACCATGGCCATTCCAACGCCGCCAAATGCTGGCAAATGGTTAAAGGTCGGCGTGATACAAGCTGCCCTACCTTAGAACAAATAGCTGCACAAACGATAACAAAGAAAAACCTGACAAGGGAGGGCACTTCTTCTCCAAGAAGGGGTATGAAGCCTTGCGCCAAAGAAAGATTATTGTGGGAGCCTTGTGCCAAAGACAAGTTATTGTGGGAGCCTTGTGTCAAAGGCCGGTTATTGTGGGAGCCTTGTGTCAAAGACAGGTTATTGTGGGAGACTTGTGCCAAAGACAGGTTATTGTGGGAGACTTGTGCCAAAGACAGGTTATTGTGGGAGACTTGTGCCAAAGACAGGTTATTGTGGGAGCCTTGTGCCAAAGACAGGTTATTGTGGGAGCCTTGTGCCAAAGACAGGTTATTGTGGGAGCCTTGTGCCAAAGACAGGTTATTGTGGGAGCCTTGTGCCAAAGACAGGTTATTGTGGGAGACTTGTGCCAAAGACAGGTTATTGTGGGAGCCTTGTGCCAAAGACAGGTTATTGTGGGAGACTTGTGCCAAAGACAGGTTATTGTGGGAGACTTGTGCCAAAGACAGGTTATTGTGGGAGACTTGTGCCAAAGACAGGTTATTGTGGGAGCCTTGTGCCAAAGACAGGTTATTGTGGGAGCCTTGTGCCAAAGACAGGTTATTGTGGGAGCCTTGTGCCAAAGACAGGTTATTGTGGGAGCCTTGTGCCAAAGACAGGTTATTGTGGGAGACTTGTGCCAAAGACAGGTTATTGTGGGAGACTTGTGCCAAAGACAGGTTATTGTGGGAGACTTGTGCCAAAGACAGGTTATTGTGGGAGACTTGTGCCAAAGACAGGTTATTGTGGGAGACTTATAGCTGAGGACTGTCAAAAGACCAAGTTGGCTGTAATTTTACACACGACAATATAATGTCAGGAGGGCGTAGTAATTTGAGCATAGAGTTGCAATACCCTGTATTTCACGAGAAAAGAGGAGGAACTATTTTCTGGAGCGTAGGAGGACCGCACGCTTTAGTTGAGCGAGAGAGTACACCATTTTTCTGACAGGAAGCAGACGTGTTTTATTTTTCTATCATGTGAATTATTGAAATATTGAAGTAATGTGATTCAAATTGTGATATGGAATATTGTATAAGTGTATAATGATTGCATCCTGGAATTATTGCAGGATATCCTACTAGCAAGGCTTATTATTGATGTGGTTATAGAATGTAATAAAATACTGTGTAATTGTATTCATTGGACGTTATCATTACTTGTTGAGTGAGAGAAGCTGATGCAGATTAATTATAATTCAAGTGATAGCGGCATCCTAGACAATCAAACAGAGCATTAGTTAACTATGCTACATTGACAGTAGAATAGCATGTGTTACAAGGACCCTTCTTTTAAACGAAAATGTGTAGGTGAATAGGACACACTGTTTGCAATACCCCAGATAACATCACCGAGCAATCCCTAAATACCCCAGATAACATCACCGGGCAATCCCTAAATACCCCAGATAACACCACTGGGCAATCCCTAAATACCCCAGATAACACCACTGGGCAATCCCTAAATACCCCAGATAACACCACTGGGCAATCCCTAAATACCCCAGATAACAACACCGGGCAATCCCTAAATACCCCAGATAACACCACCGGGCAATCCCTAAATACCCCATATAACACCACACACCGAGCCATCCCTAAATACCCCAGATAACACCACTCGGCAATCCCTAAATACCCCAGATAACACCACAGGGCAATCCCTAAATACCCCAGATAACACCACTGGGCAATCCCTAAATACCCCAGATAACATCACCGGGCAATCCCTAAATACCCCAGATAACACCACTGGGCAATCCCTAAATACCCCAGATAACAGCACCGGGGAATCCCTAAATACCCCAGATAACACCACCGGGCAATCCCTAAATACCCCAGATAACACCACTGGGCAATCCCTAAATACCCCAGATTACATCACCGGGCAAACCCTAAATACCCCAGATTACATCACCGGGCAATCCCTTAATACCCCAGTTAACAAATCCGGGCAATCCCTAAAATACTCCATTTAACATCCCCGGGCAATCCCTAACATTTACATGGAATACACGAGTAACAATGAAGAGAGGTAGGCCAAAGAATACACGGAAACGCGAGCTGGAGGCAGACACGCAAAGTATGGGATACACATGGAAAGCACAGGCATGAGATAACCGAGATGACTGGGAAGCACTTTCGACAACCTTCGCCTCAGGCATGGTTAAAGCCATAATTAAGAAAGTCATGGATTTGTTTTAAAACACTCATGTATTTATATACATCTAATTGCAACTCGGATTATGGGAAGAAACACACAACTCATGTCATAACGGACCCAGGGCAGCCATGAAGGTGGAGGGGTTCTTACACCACAAAATTTTACCTCGTGACAGGTTTAATGTAGTAGCATTGTAGTGATCTGGTTTATTTCCTCTCAGTACCATGTCTGGTGTAGTGACATTGTAGTGATCTGGTTTATTTCCTCTCAGTACCATGTCTGGTGTAGTGACAACGTAGTGATCTGGTTTATTTCCTCTCAGTACCATGTCTGGTGTAGTGACAACGTAGTGATCTGGTCTATTTCCTCTCAGTATCATGTCTGGTGTAGTGACAATATAGTGATCTGGTCTATTTCCTATCAGTATCATGTCTGGTGTAGTGACATTGTAGTGATCTGGTCTATTTCCTCTCAGTACCATGTCTGGTGTAGTGACAATGTAGTGATCTGGTCTATTTCCTCTCAGAACCATTTCTGGTGTAGTGACAATGTAGTGATCTGGTCTATTTCCTCTCAGTACCATGTCTGGTGTAGTGACAATGTAGTGATCTGGTCTATCTCCTCTCAGTACCATGTCTAGTGTAGTGACAATGTAGTGATCTGGTCTATTTCCTCTCAGTACCATGTCTGGTGTAGTGACAATGTAGTGATCTGGTCTATTTCCTCTCAGTACCATGACTAATGTAGTGACAAAGTAGTAATCTGGTCTATTTCCTCTCAGTACCATGTCTAGTGTAGTGACAGTGTACTGATCTGGTCTATTTCCTCTGAGTACCATGTCTAGTGTAGTGACAATGTAGTGATCTGGTCTATTTCCTCTCAGTACCATGTCTAGTGTAGTGACAATGTAGTGATCTGGTCTATTTCCTCTCAGTACCATGTCTAGTGTAGTGACAATGTAGTGATCTGGTATATTTCCTCTCAGTACCATGTCTGGTGTAGTGACAATGTAGTGATCTGGTCTATTTCCTCTCAGTACCATGTCTGGTGTAGTGACAATGTAGTGATCTGGTCTATTTCCTCTCAGTACCATGTCTGGTGTAGTGAAAATGTGGTTATCTGGTCTATTTCCTCTCAGTACCATGTCTGGTGTAGTGACAATGTAGTGATCTGGTCTATTTCCTCTCAGTACCATGTCTAATGTAGTGATAATGTAGTGATCTGTTCAATTTCCTCTCAGTACCATGTCTGGTGTAGTGACAATGTAGTTATGTGGTCTATTTCCTCTCAGTACCATGTCTTATGTAGTGACAATGTAGTGATGTGGTCTATTTACTCTAAGTACCATGTCTGGTGTAGTGACAATGTAGTGATGTGGTCTATTTCCTCTCAGTACCATGTCTGGTGTAGTGACAATGTAGTGATCTGGTCTATTTCCTCTTAGTACCATGTCTGGTGTAGTGACAATGTGGTGATCTGGTCTATTTCCTCTCATTACCATGTCTGGTGTAGTGACAATATAGTGATGTGGTCTATTTCCTCTCAGTATAATGTCTGGTGTAGTGACAATGTAGTGATCTGGTCTATTTCCTCTCAGTACCATGTCTAATGTAGTGACAATGTAGTAATCTGGTCTATTTCCTCTCAGTACCATGTCTAGTGTAGTGACAGTGTACTGATCTGGTCTATTTCCTCTCAGTACCATGTCTAATGTAGTGACAATGTAGTGATCTGGTCTATTTCCTCTCAGTACCATGTCTAATGTAGTGACAATATAGTGATCTGGTGTATTTCCTCTCAGTACCATGTCTAATGTAATGACAATATAGTGATCTGGTCTATTTCCTCTCAGTACCATGTCTAATGTAGTGACAATGTAGTGATCTGGTCTATTTCCTCTCAGTACCATGTCTAATGTAGTGACAATGTATTGTTCTGGTCTATTTCCTCTCAGCACCATGTTTAATGTAGTGATCTGGTCTATTTCCTCTCAGTACCATGTCTAGTGTAGTGACAATGTAGTGATCTGGTATATTTCCTCTCAGTATCATGTCTGGTGTAGTGACAATGTAGTGATCTGGTCTATTTCCTCTCAGTACCATGTCTAATGTAGTGATAATGTAGTGATCTGTTCAATTTCCTCTCAGTACCATGTCTGGTGTAGTGACAATGTAGTTATGTGGTCTATTTCCTCTCAGTACCATGTCTTATGTAGTGACAATGTAGTGATGTGGTCTATTTACTCTAAGTACCATGTCTGGTGTAGTGACAATGTAGTGATGTGGTCTATTTCCTCTCAGTACCATGTCTGGTGTAGTGACAATGTAGTGATCTGGTCTATTTCCTCTCAGTACCATGTCTAATGTAGTGACAATGTAGTGATCTGGTCTATTTCCTCTCAGTACCATGTCTAATGTAGTGACAATATAGTGATCTGGTTTTTCCCCTATACTCAGAATGTTAACTATCACAAAACTCGGAGCTTCAGTTCCGTCGCAACTCCTGTATTAACCAGTCCTTATAGTGAGCCACCCTTGTAAACACCATCGGCATGACCCCAAGACAGTTGTCAATCACGTAGCTGGTGACACCTGCTACATAATAGCGCCCGTTGACCTTGCAACTCAGCGGACCTCCGGAGTCTCCGTTGCAGGAGCTCCCCCCTTCAGCCACACTCATGACACACAGATGGCTCCCTGTGATGACGTGCTTCACCAATTTCATAACATACCGACATAGTCGGTGATAAACCACCTCCACGTGTAGCTTTTTCAGAAGTTTTAGCCTTGAACTTTGTAAAGCCGAGGTCACAGGAACTGTTTCACCGAATCCCGTTACAAAACACAAGGGATTCTGGGTGAACTCTTCATCTCGCGAAGGTAAGCACGCGGGCCTGACTCGGTCTGAAATGTTCAAGCGCGCAGAGAGTTTCAGAAGGGCGATGTCGTTCACCACAGTTTGATTCGTTAGTTTGAACTGAGGGTGGGTGACGGCCTTTGAAACCTTTATGCCGTCCTGGGTCGGAAGACGTTCAACGATTTTCTGTAGTCCGATGTAAACCACGATGTCTGGACCGATGCAGTGGGCCGATGTGAGCACCCAGCGGTCGGACACCAGGACACCTCCGCACCTGACGTGCCTGGTCACGACCACCACCTGCCAGGGCCAGGCTGCGGCAGTCGTGTTGTCACCGCCGACGATCGCCTCGGACGGGTCAACGTTTGTCACGCCGCAATCCGCCGGAAACAGGGCCGTGCCGTCTTCGTTTGGCAGTGGCGGAGACGGGGCGTCTGCTGGCAGTGGCGGAGACGGAGGCGAGCCGGTGAATTCTTCGTACAACGTCTGGTATTCATTTAGGGACAAATTATTCCGAGCAGTTACAGAGCAATGCCTGCCAAACGTCTGCCATTCTCTGTTCTTATTCATAAGAAGCAAAGCTGCCATCTGGATCTGTGGACAAAAATTAAATCACTGAGAAAGGGCGTTAATCGTAAAGTCTGTTGAGAAAATTTCTGTCATCAGAAAAGTTTTTTTTTTTTAATACTTGAAATGAAACCCTCCAAAAATGTATTAAACATTGCAAACATGAACCGTCTCAAAGTGAACCAGTCGTCACTCAAAGTGAACCAATCGTCACTCAAAGTGAACCAATCGTCACTCAAAGTGAACCAGTCGGCGCTCAAAGTGAACCAGTCGGCGCTCAAAGTGAACCAGTCATCGCTCAAAGTGAACCAGTCATCGCTCAAAGTTAACCAGTGGGCGCTCAAAATAAAATGCATGCAGATTGTGCCTTTAATTCAACTGACATTTAATTAATTTGCAAGTGAAACAAGTGACAATGCTTAGGGAAACTCTTATGAGTCAATTTTATGTGTTGCACTGTTTGTACATTGGGTTCTGTGCACTGAGAGGACCTACCACACTCAGTGATCTGTGCACTGAAAAGACCTACCACACTCAGTGGTCTATAGACCAGAGTCTAGAGGCACCAGTTGGAAGAATATCAAGTTAAGTTGTGAATTTACAAATGATGTTTACCTTGCATCTATTTAATTTGAACGACGAAATGACCAATCTATAAAATGTACCTTAAATGTACAAAGTTACCTGTAGAAAATTCACATAAAGTTTAGTCAATGCAAAGAATGGATGCCCTGTTTTCCCCATGGCCGCCATCTTGGTTGACACGAAGTCACGGGCCATGTGAACCAAGATGGCGGCCACAAAAAGTTAGTGCAAAACACGTGCGATTTAAACAGACAGGGAGATAAATGTGTTGATTCAACTTCTTAACAAACGATTTAAAGTTTACCTGTAGGAAGTTCACATAAAGTATACCTGTAGGAAGTTCACATAAAATATACCTGTAGAAAGTTCACATAAAGTATACCTGTAGGAAGTTCACATAAAGTATACCTGTAGGAAGTTCACATAAAGTATACCTGTAGAAAGTTCACATAAAGTTTACCTGTAGAAAGTTCACATAAAGTATACCTGTGGAAAGTTCACATAAAGTATACCTGTAGAAAGTTCACATAAAGTTTACCTTTAGAAAGTTAACAAATTTTAGCACTAGCATGGTGCTCTGAATATACATGCAAGCTTCCGTTTCCGATCGGCGCGTAGTCTGTTCAAAGTTGTGCTGAACAAAGGAAAACTCCAATTCCTCAATGAGGGCGGTCGGCTATGTATGACCGGATTATGTCGCACAGATATGTGTATAAGTGGATTATAATGGAACGGAATCAAGTTCAGATATAATTACAAGACAGGCTTAATGTACAAAGGTAACGGACCCATTCTTCTCTCTAAAGGGTTAGCTGACTTATCTTCGACTGGGTTGTCCCCCAGCATGACTGAGACCCGTCAGTCAAGTAACACACAACTCGTAAAAATTTGGCGTGACAAGATTTGTCCGTAAAATTCTGAAAGAAATTTGGGATGTCCATAAAAAAGAAAAGAAGTTCTCCTTTCGCCATTTCAGAAAAGGGGTTGGGGGGGGGGGTATCAAAAACGTAGATTTCTGAGCATCTGCAAACTTGTTTTTTCCTTGTTGTATTTAAACTATGGGTTATAAAATTTGTCCGTAAAATTCTGAAAGAAATTTGGGATGTCCATAAAAAAGAAAAGAAGTTCTCCTTTCGCCATTTCAGAAAAGGGGTTGGGGGGGGGGGGTATCAAAAACGTAGATTTCTGAGCATCTGCAAACTTGTTTTTTCCTTGTTGTATTTAAACTATGGGTTATAATATCGGATTATATTTTGTTTACAAACCTGTTTCTGATTCACAACACCGAACTGTCTGCACAAAAAGTGTAATATTTTGACATAGATTTAAAAGCTCGAAAATGAACGTAGAAGTCTATTTTTAGAGATCACAAACCTACTGTCTCTCCTGCACGATTTTGATATCACAGTTTGATTCCAGCAAATGACCTACCACACGAACCCCAGGGCAGCATGTGGTAGTTGCCACACCAAACACCAGGGCAGCGTGTGGTAGTTGCCCCACCAAATCCCAGTGCAGCATGGGTAGTTGGCACCCCAAACCCCAAGGCAGCACGTGGTCCTTGCCACACCAAACCCCAGGGCAGTGTGCGGTAGTTATTTGGGATCATAATAATTGTGGATACAACCAGCTATATTTATAAATTAAATTTTGATATCAGTAAAATGTTTTTTTAAAATTTAAACTGACTTTTAGTTTGAATCACTGTAATGTATTGTATCGTATTGTATAGAGGATAAATGCAGTTATTAATATATATATATATATATATATATTTATTTATTTATTTGAATGTTTACTATGAGGACTATTGTTATACATCCGCCAATAGGTTCAATGACAGCAGACTATATATAGTTCGTCCAGATGAAATCGACCATCACCATTATGGTCATCTTATTTGTTCCAGTTCTGAACTTGGCGGTGGGTGCGCAGATGGCTGATGAGGCTGATTCTGGCAAGGAATTTTTTCTTGTGCAGTAAGTGCAGGGATTGATGGGACATCTCCAGGTGCAGAGTTCACCCGCGGGCTCTTCTGGCATGTCTCTTGTGATCTGCAGCCGCTGTTCTGTTTGCTGTATGTTGCATGTAGCACTAGTGTACAGAAGAACGCCACGATGCTCGGTTCTTTGCCGATTCTTCCCAGGTGTCCGTGTACATATTGAACGCATTCAGTGAGGCTTTTAAAGCGTTTCTTCTGCTCACCAGCAAACCGCCTTCCACGCCGGAGATCACGGTAGAATATTCTTTTGGGCGAGCGGTCTCCTGACATTCTCACAGCGTGTCCCGTCCCAGCTATCCGGGGGACTCCATTAAAACAGTAAAGATGCTGGGGAGACATGACAGTGCTTGCAGATCAGTGTCTGGGACCCTGCACTGCAATCTGATGCTGTCGTATGAAAGTGGTTCAATGTGCTTGCATGGTGTTGACAGACCGTCCACGTGTCACGGGTAAAGAGAAGCGTAGAGAGGACAGAACCTTATACACTTTCAATGGATTTGATTGCTGATACCTCTCCCGGTCCATACATTCTTAGACACTTTGCCATAGGTTGCACTGGCTCGTGCAATACCAAGGATTTACCTCGTCCTCAATGGTAGCACTTGGGGGGACAGTTTGCTGCCACGGCAAGAGAAGCTGTTTACCACTTCCAGCCTTTCCACATAAACTTGAACGTTGAGTCCAACATACGGGCTTCGAGGAGCTGGCTGGTATAGGACCTAAGTCTTATTTTGCGTTAATGGCGAGACCGACGGTTGAGTGGGCATTGGATGTATTTGCAACACTGCGTTGCATATCCGCTGCTGATCCAGCGTTCAGGGCACAAGCGTCGGCCTACAGGAAGTCCCCGGTGATAAAGAATGCGGTATGGCTGGACACGTGATGTTAGCGACTAGGGAACATGATGACATCAGCTAGAACACGTGATGTTAGCAAATAGGACACGTGATGCCAGAAACTAGGACACGTGATGCCAGAAACTAGGACACGTGATGCCAGAAACTAGGACACGGGATGCAAGAAACTAGGACACGTGATGCCAAAACTAGGACACGTGATGCCAGAAACTAGGACACGTGATGTCAGAAAATAGGACACGTGATGCCAGAAACTAGGACACGTGATGCCAGAAACTAGGACACGTGATGCCAGAAACTAGGACACGTGATGTCAACTATTTTAGTCTACACAATTACTGTGAAATTTACTTCTGTTTTGTTTCTTAAAAAAATAAAATAAATCAAGTGCCTAACCTGGCTTGACACTTGTCAATAAATCAGGTGCCTAACCTGGCTTGACACTTGTCAATAAATCAGGTGCCTAACCTGGCGTGACACTTGTCAATAAATCAGGTGCCTAACCTGGCTTGACACTTGTCAATAAATCAGGTGCCTAACCTGGCTTGACACTTGTCAATAAATCAGGTGCCTAACCTGGCTTGACACTTGTCAATAAATCAGGTGCCTAACCTGGCTTGACACTTGTCAATAAATCAGGTGCCTAACCTGGCTTGACACTAGTCAATAAATCAGGTGCCTAACCTGGCTTGACACTTGTCAATAAATCAGGTGCCTAACCTGGCTTGACACTTGTCAATAAATCAGGTGCCTAACCTGGCGTGACACTAGTCAATAAATCAGGCGCCCGCATAAAATATTGAGCTGATTAAAGTAAGGATCAAGGAACGACACAAAAGGAATGCAAATTAGTTCATCTAAAATTGATATTTTTAACTTTAAATTATATTTTTTTTTAAATAGTCAATATACCAGGCGTGGCCCGGCATTACAATGGAAAATACACAACTTCTACAGCCTTATAGCTAACAGAAATCCAGAGGCCTGTAAAGAAAACACATCGCTAAGAATTATTTTAAAAATAAATTTTATCCTCTGTAAAAACACATTTATAAAATACGATTCCACAGGGATTGAATTTCCCGTTCTGATCACGATCCCTAGTTGGATCCTTTCAATGTTGAGATCCCATTCCCGGTGGGATCCTGTTCACAATGGGATCCCTCTCCCGTTGAAATCTCGATAGAAGTAGGGCCCCCGTTTCCGAATGGATTAATTATCATGATCCCGATGGGATGCCGTTCCTGGTGGATCCCGACTACAATGGGGTCCCTTTTCCGGTGGGATCCCGATCCCAAATGGGATAAAATATCTCGATGGTATCCCGATGAGATACTATGGTCATAGTGGGATCCCGACCCCAATGGGATTCCGATACCCTTGGGAAACCATTTCCAAATGGGATCCCTTTACCCGATGGGATCCAGACGCCATTGGGATACCGACCCCACTTGTCGGCCAACCATTGTTATAAAAATAGATTAAAAGTCTTT